TAGATACTTTTGACGATATGTCGCGAATTGTGTGCTGTGTGTTTCGCAGATATTTTGGTACGTTTTGCAATCGTGACGCCCGGCTGACTCTGATTCGGATTTCGATTTTAAGCGTCTGCGAAATTGGATGAGAAACAGGTGTTCGAAATTAGTCAGCCAAATATGTGAAGCTGCCAGCGCATGTCAGTGTGTATTTACATCCTATCCATATTCCATTGTCGTGAAAGATGTGCGTGGTGTGATTAAAGAATGCGGCAAAATTGTGAATACAATTTAAATTTAAAGAGTTTGGTATTAAATATTAAAGACAAAGGCAAAAACGTTAATTTCTCAGTGCATTGTGCATTTTTCGAAACTCTTTCTATTTATTTATTGAGACTGTGTCTGTATTTTCCCCATATTCTATTGATTGATTAGATCTGACACTTTAACTAGACAGAGAAATACACAAATATGTAATCTAATTTAAATATTCAGCTGCAGGCCAGACAATTCGAGAAAATCCATTTTCATAAGCTATGCAATTTTTACATTTAAACTGTAAAAAGCAAATAGCAATAAGCAAATAATAAAACTAAAATGTTGCAGTAAATTCAAAAAGCTTTTAGGAACTGACAACGACTGCCTCACGTCACGCTTTTAGAGGAGGGTCTATAAAAATAGCGTAATGATATAATACTAGCCGAACAGCAGACTGAACAACATTTATTTCAGAAATATTTTTGCATGTTTGTTTGCTTGTAAATTGTTAAATACACGAAATGCAATAGCACAATGTTGCAAATCGATTATTTATAGAGCATTTTGAAAGTGTTTTTCTGGCTTATTTTCTATTCAGCCATTGATAGTGCCAATCGAGCGAGCAAAGACTAAAAAACTAACGAAAAACTCAACCACAAGTGTCGCAGCATAAAAGCATTATCTGCTCGTATTGTCCATGAAACATGGAACAGATGTCATAAATTTCCAGAAACTCTAAAGTTAAATAGCGCGTGCAGAGCATAAACTACGAGAAATGCAAAAAACTCTAATGAAAATCATAAAAATGCATATATAAAAGTTGGTGTAAAAAACGAAAATTAAATAAACAAAAAAAAATGACCGAAGCTGAAATACCCTTGTTGGAATATGCCATAATAATGAGATATGCTCGAAATAGGATTCATTAATTGATTCTTTGCTGGCCCATTCCAGATTAGAAATTCACTTAAATTTATTTTTTTTTTTATTTTATTTATTTATTTTATTTATTAATGGTCGACAAAACGAGTGTCTTCCCTATTATTCAAAAGATCAGAATACTCAAAAAAAGCGTATTCACTGAAAAATGTAAGTTAAAAACATTTTCATTAAAAACGGCACCAAAAGTTTCTACATAAAATTTTCCTTTATGCTAAACGTGTGAAGACTTCGCGCCCCTTTTTGTTTCCACGCCCTGCTGCCAACAACTTCTTTATGCCCAGTTTATGCGCTTAGAATACGTTTGAATGTTTTGCGCAATTTTTTCAGGACTTTTTCAGCATTTTATTTTATATTTTTTTTTCTTTTGTTTTGTTGCTATAAAAATGTTTAATGAAAAGTTTGCGCCATAAAGCATCAGGCATCTGCAGTCGGAGTTGTGCCTTTGCTCTGAGTCATGAGACATGCGAATAAGCCAACTTTGAGAAATTCTCGACGACGTCGTTGGTGTTGTTGTTGTTGTTGTTTCTGTTGATCGTCATTTGGCTTCCCATGCAGCGAAGCATTGCGCCAAGTGGGTGGGTGGCCACCGAGAGTAGAGACAAGACATTGTCTGGTCTCGGGCAGGCAAAGAACAAAGCTGGGAAAAACTGCATAGCTAGTCGCTGGGAAGAGCCGGAAACATTCCGCAAATGCATTTCCCATGCACAATTTCTTGCACGCTCAAACAAAAAAAAAAAAAGTAAGCCCGGCGCGGAAATGCATATTTAAGCCAAGAAGTGGATAGCCGCAGTTAACAAACGAGCAACGGCAACAAAAATAACTACGAGCTGGCCGCAATTTTAATTTAATTAAATCAACGAAAAAAATATAAAAAAAAAAAACGACTTCTTACTTTATAGCTGCCACCTTCACTTTCTCACACATATGCACACACGCATGCACACCTCTTTGCACCTGAAGTTTGTTTTTATTGTTACCTTGCGTGTCACATTTCATTTCAATTGCACCCGCGTTCAACCCCCTCTGCCCATACACATACTCTCTCGCTTGCCTCATTCTTCAATATTTTTAATAAGTTTGTTCCACATTGTTCATTGCTCAGCGTCAGCTCGCGTGGCTCCCCATCATGCCCTCTCTTTTTCTCTCTCTCTCGCTCTCGCTCTGTTTCAGTCTCACATCTCTTCTGCAGCCGTCGCCACATTAACGCTTAACAACTTTTTTTTGTTATAATTATTGGTGTGATTTTTTTTCTCAGTTTGTTTTTGTTCTCCGCTTTTGTTAACTCTTTGAGGCACTTTTCGTTTTGTTACTTCCCACCCCCCGCCTAACCTCGGCTGATAATTATTATTTATTTTCAAGGGTCAGTGATTTTCTTGCTTATTTTCTTTTGCCATATTCTTGGCTCTTTTCAAATGAATTTTGTCGTGTGAATTTTTCTTGCTAAAACACATTTTTCCAGCTGTCGTTTTTTTTTATAATAAGTTTCTAGCTTAAAAGTTTGAGCTGTTTTCAAGAGTGACAAAACTTGATCGAAATATTTAATTGGAAAAATATAATTAACTTTCGAATACGTTTCGACAGTGTTAAGAAATGTCACAATCTCATGTATTTGACTTTCCGCCTTCATAGCTGTCAGCTTTGTTTCAAGTTTAAGTGCTGCAAGGCATGTTATGTAACCCATTTAATTGACTTAATGAAAAAACCTTTAAATTTAAGTACATCTACTAATGATCTTCATAAAATATTCCATTGAATTTGTTCCATTCTGCAGCATTTAATGGCAACATTTGTCGCTTATTGCACTCTGACATATTCATTGCCCTATCCAGGAACACTTTATGCGCAGAGCCTTCAAACCCTCAGCAGCATTAATTATGCATTTACATGTTGCATATGCGAATAGAATATGAATTCTATGCACTCTCCTTTTATGAGTGTGCGCATGTGTGTGTGTGTGTGTGCGTGTGTGTGTGTGTGTGTGTGTGTATGTGGATCGCTAATGAACAAAACGCAGTTAGTGCAGTTTGTTGCCTTTGTTTTGTTGGCATACAGCTGCTGCCGCTGTTTTAATTATGTCGATGGCGGGGGAAGGTGACGTCGGGATTCGCACAACAAAGTTACAAATGTTCGAGCGACTGTTTTTGGTAACACAAATGAGGGGTCTTTGTCTGAATCCACCCAAAATTTATGCGGCTATGAAAACGTAACGAGCCGCATTGAAACATTCCATTTTGCATGTAGCAAAAGTCTATAAAAACCAGTCAGAAACCAGTACAAAGCACGACGAGGCGTTGCCCCGTGACTGAGATAAATACGCTTCTATTTCGAATTGAACATGTATTCAGCCAAATAGGATACCCTTTCAGCTTGTTAGTTACAGGGTAAACTTCAAATGGCAAAGCGCATTTAAAGTACGGTGCATCTGTTAACAGATTTTCTTCTAGTTTGCTTAGATTTATGAAAACACCGTCTGGCTAATTAATTAATTAATTATGCGCTTGCGCTCAACATCTTTTTTTTTTTTTAAGTTATTATTATTAATTTAGCGCAGGCAACGTCTAAATTTAGTGTGCAAAGAGGAGACTAAGAAAAAAGTGTTGTCTACCGCTGTAGATTTTCATTTAGTTATGCGCCTCTTTTCCACAAATTCTGTTCATTAGCATTTGTAGGAGCTCAGCTTTGGCGCTGCCTTACTGTGACTTAACCCCCCTCCCCACCGTCTACCGCCCATCTGCCCACCTCATTTTCCACAATTTGTTGCTTTTAAGAGAGGCGCAAAAAAATTGCATAGCTTTTGCATGTTTTGCTTCCTGTTCGTCTCGTTCGTTTTCATATCCCTTACTATTTCTTCTCTTGCCACTTTCCCTGGTCTAACAACATTTTTTTGTTGCTCTTGATGAGCTTGTTGTGTGTTTTTCCATCCTCTATTTTCTTTTAGCTAGCACAAAATGGTGAAGCAGACTTTGGGGCCTTACTCTGAAATTCACAATGACGGCAAAGCGTGCATGGTTAAAGTCAAATTTTTTTTTGTATATCTTTTGGGCGATATGCAAAAATAAGTCTACATAATGTGCACTTTCTTTCATTTTGGTGGGGCTAACTTTGATCACTCTCATGTACTCTGTAACTAAGTATCTATCATATAGTCTATGATATATAATTTGGAATATTGCGATGTTTTGGCTGCAGGTAAATGTCCTACAAGTATATATCCCAAACTACAGCTGTCTTGGTCTAGCTTTAGGTTTTTGAAAGAGTATTAATATCTTGGTTGATTATCTATTAATGCTATATATTTAGATTGAATCTAATAAGGTCTAGAAGGACACACGAAACACATATTCATTTCGCCAACAAGCCCAAATTCAATGCAAGTTTATTGGTAATAATGAGGCTTAAAACTCGCCCAGCGTTAGGCGCATTTCAAATAATTTCTATTCAGTTTATAATGATAATTTGTAAAATGCGTAATTAAATTTGATTGCTCGATAGTTTTCAAAAACCGCAAATTCAATTGCATTTATCAATTGAATGCGATGGAAAAGCATGTGCGTGCGTGTGTATGTGTGTTTAAATAATATACATACATATATATAAAATGGGGTTGATTCCTTTCTACAAATGTGCATAATTATGCTAATGATATTTCGGCTTTTTAATGAGTTTCGTCTGTGGGTAAAATCGTCGTAATCTAGCGAAGCACAGCTTCCAACCCAACCTACCCAAATGACAGCTATGTCTATTATTGTTATTAATAATATATTTTTAATTTTTCTAGATATAATTATAGCAGATAATATAGGTGGGGCGGCACTTACCTATTTGGGCGCTGACATGAGCAACAACTGTCAGGCAGAGCAGCGGCCAAAGCCACGTTGTTGTTGTTCTTGTTGAAGGTTGTCTCGTAAATCCGATTAGCTTTTGGGAACTTGAGGGCGAGGGCGCTCTGGCGGGGCTGTTGCTGCCGCTGTGTTGTAAGCGCCTCAGCAGCATGTTGCCAGTGTTGTAAATGTTGCCAGCTCGTCGTAAGTAATGTTGCCAAGCTTGTTGCTGTTCTTTGCACTTGTCTTTGTCTTAGCCTTGGCTCACTCACACACATTCAATTGGGGAGCGTGAGTGTATTGGATGGGGTCCTTTTGGTCTGTTCGGTTCGTTCGTTTTGTCAGTTGCCGTTGTTCTCGTTGTCAGATTTTAGTTCTGTTATTGCGTCGCTTTGGCATTTAGTTGATTTTTATGGTTTGTTTGATAGATTTTTTTTTGTATTTTTTCTTTTATTTGGCTTTTTTTGTTGTGATTTTTTGTCTCGTACTTTGCTTGTTTACAATTTCATTTCCTTTGCACTGCTTTACACTTAATGCTTTTCTCTGATTTGCTGGCCTTTGTGTTTAACAACTTTGCTATTAAATTTCAATGATTGAACATTATGCATTGGTGCTGCAAAAACAAAAACAGAATTGGAAAATAAGAGAAAATAATCAAAATACGTAGATGTTAATACGAGGCCCGAAGGCATACGAACTTTTAGTTTTGATAATATTTCAATTGGATATATAATCCAAAATATTTCAATTTTTCTAAATTATCGATTTTCAGTTATCGAATATTGTTTATACCGAACTTTTTTTTTATTATTTGTTATATTTAACAATTTATAGTTTTGATAATGATTTAGAGCAAGTTTATTTCAATTTATGCTTTACTATTTGTTAGCTCATTTATATTCGTTTGATATATATATTTGTCTATCTATGAAACAGCTGTAATATAAGCCGCTTTTCGTCAACTACCTATTAACGCGTATGATTCAATAGGAGGTAACTTCGATTGACATCGATACGTGCCTTCAATCTGCCTGCTACATGCCACATGATGATTATATTTTATTTGCATTTGTGATGATATTCATCCACACCGAGCAATCTAGAGGGAGCTCTCAAGTTGTTCCCTAACAGCTGTCAAAATCAAATTTCACACGTGCTTCAATTGCAATTGATACGACTTCAATGGATTTAAAATATAATTTCACATTTCAATTATTTATTGAAATGTTGCCTGTTCTGTGATCTGATGGATTTGATTACAGAAATTCATGCCGTGTCGATAATTTGTACAATTTTAAATGAAATTGCAACCTCGAAATGGAAGAAGAAAACTGAAAACTGAATTATATACTCTATTCGATTAGTTGCTGTGAAACGTACGCATAATGAAGCAAACTTTGAAAGAATTAGCAATAGAATTTTCCCAGGATGTAACTTTATTTTGTTATGTTTTGTTGGTGTGTGTTTTTGGGTCAGAAGCAAACGAAAGCAAACATAATCATTGATGGGTAGAATTGAAGGCAGTTTTATTGGTTTTATTTCAAAGAGAAGCTGTGGCGATGAGGTCAATTTCCTAAAAGTATGCTTGAAAATATTTTGCGATTTCTTGCTGCTGTTTGTTTGTCCAGCACAAACTGGACCGTGGAGGCGATTTGTATATATTTTAGAGGCAGCTGCTTATTGATTTCAACGAAGGCCACATACGCGGCGTATGCGCAATATTTGCCTTTTGGCACTTGCGAAACGAACGAAGCGGGCAAAATAAATAAATAGCAAGAAATGCGCACAAGAGCAACAACAAACAAATAATATTAACCAAAAACTTAGCCAAAATGTTGTTGATGAAAACGTGACTGGACACATTGAGTGGACCGCATATATACAGAAATACAAATACGAATGCAATCACAAATACGAATACATACATATTTTTGTAGCATATACTCGGTATTGTATATATATATATATATATGTATGTGGCTCGGTCAATTTCTGGCACACAGTGACCATCAAAAGTCAACTGCTTGCGCTTCGTCGCTTTCCCCTGTAGGTATTAATATTGTATATTTACCGTTTATTTTTCATTTCGTGACTTTAAGCAGTTTTTTTTTTGTGTTTTCCTTTTAGTTTTTCTCTTTTTTGTTGGAAACCTATTTCCGCCTTTTTAAGATCTTCTGTAATATCAATTCCATTTTGTATGCGTTATTTTGACATCTGTTTGAACATTCAAATAATTAAAAACGACTCGATTTTATAATTTTGTACTTTAAGAAATTATCTCAGCACCCAATGCTCTCGCAATAAAATGCCTGCTAAAAATTACTTAAATATTATCTCAATAGAATTTGAAGGCTTTTGAATACAGAGCGAAAGTGTTAAATGATTTATCTATAACTATTCTATTTTGGAAGCGAGTTAAAACAGCCGAAAACAACAAATAATGGGTTACAAGAAATCAGTTTATGAATGGAGAATTTAAGAGAATTTTATATAATTAAATTTTTACTATATAATTGTAAATGAGTCTGAAGCAAATTTTACAAAGGATTTACTAGAAGGAAATTGCATTGTGTGTCGAATATGATCATAATATTAATTAAAATTATATGACCAAACGAGTAAGTGTTGCTTCAGGTATTACCTAGATTCAGAAACAAATGTTAAGAATCAAAAATACTTCATAATTTCTCCCACAGTCACAAAATATCATGCTATTCATACAAGTATCTACTATTGCTCGTAACACCTGTCTGTCAAATTATTTCGCTTGGAATATTTTTTATAATTTTCTCTGCTTTGCTAAATTTGTTACTCATCTTAAGGCCATTTGCTTTAAATGGCCGTCAAGTTAGCTGCCAGCTAACTAACTAGCTGTCTATTCATTCGACCTCTCACTCCTTTTGCCCATTTACCAGACGTCCTGCGTCCTGAGTCGTGAACGTACTTGATTGACAGCCGCTTTCTCTGCTGGCTGCCATTAATCAGCTTAAACAGCTGGCGCGTGCAAAATTAAAATATCTGCAGCGAAGTAGTTGCTGAAGAAGCCAAATGAAGTGGCATCAAATTGCGCAAGGCATAAGGAAAAGCGACCCGCAGACAAACTGGAAGTATCTATAGATACTTATATCTAATCAGGCGCGCTTTACTCGTTTTATTTAGTATCTACTTTGGGTACTTATTTTTAGGTATTTATATGATTTTGTTGTATTTTTTTGTATTTTTTAGATGGCTTTATTTGTTGATTTGTGATTTATATTGGCCGCATAGCATTCGCTGGTTAATCTCATTTGGCCACGTTCTTCTGATCCTTTTCTGTGTTTGCATCTATTTCATGGATTGTGCCACATAATTTCCCGTTATGTGTTGTGCTGTGCGTCACACATACACACAGAGACGCACACACTGACATATTTGTTGCTTCATTTAATTTCTTATTTCTTTTGCGACATTTCTCTTTTCGGTTTTTTGCCTTTTCTCTACCTTTTCAGCATTCTTCTGGTTTCATGGCAGCCCCACGTTTTGGCCTTGTGGTCATTCAACTGTAAGAGAGTCAAGAACAGAGAGAAAAATACATAAAAAATTATTAGATTTTTCTTATTTCTTTTCTTGTTTGTTTTTTGTTATTGTTGTATTTTTTGTCTTTTTCTAGCGACTTTTTGCTCATGAACTACGGGTGCTCTGTTGCTGAGGTGGGGCAAGACGGGTCGCCTGGCTAAATTGCTTTTGTATGCATATGCCGCATGGTTGGATGGATGACTGACTGGACGACCGTTCCCCACACACAATACACGCACACACACACACACACTCACCTATACACACAATTGTGGGAAATTAGGCAGAAACATATTTAAGGCGATTTTCTTGATGAGATATCGTTTAATGGTTTGCTGTTTATCTTTGCACGTTCTCTTCGGCCTCTAATGAACAGTCAGCAAGTCACAAAAACTTTTACCCCCCACGGACGTCACTCCCCTCTATCAGTCTTGGTTCTCGCTAGCATTTCGCAGGGCTGAGAATATGCTCGTTCTCAGCGGGGTGCTGCACATCAAAATGCCTGCATATTAAGTATACAACATTACGTATACGCACGAGAATGCTGTTAAATTGCCATCGATACTGAACTACAAAAGCAATCGCAATGGGACGCAAATGTTTGTAACACTCCAAAGATTGTCGAATATATATTTTATTGGACATTACGGAACAATAAGTATGAGAATAAACTTTTCAACATGAATAGATAGTTGTTGTTATCATTTTAATAAGGTCTAAAAATGATGCAGTGCCCAAAACTGTGAGCAAAAACCAGTGAGAAGAGAAAGGAGACGAAACGGATATGAAATCACAGGTGGGAAATTTCTCACGCTTAAACGATGCTACCTGCAGTTTTTGTTCAGAGTCGGAAATGCGAAAAACCATTTACAGACGCGGCAATTGAAATATTTTGTTAGCCCGGCCATTAAGAGTTCCATTATGCCAGCTGCATTGACAAAAAGTGTCAAATGAAAGCATTTAAAGCCACAGCTGAGCCGAGTTGAGTTGAGGGCGCACACTCGCTTTCACCGTGAGTTATTTCTTATCAAAGCCGTTCCCATTTAAAAGGGGCTCATTAAAACGGCAATTGGCAATTGGCTGGGAAAACGGCAACAGGCTCAGAGCAAAAGAAACTCTGCAATGGTTAGAGAAATGGCAATTAAATGTTATAGAGTGCCAAGCAAAAAGATTTCCATACCTAAACTTTGCGATTTACAAATGCCTAATGAAAAACTTTAGCGATTGTTTTAATTAAACGGTGGACGGGCCAAATAAATCTTGGGCGGGCATAACTATAAATATGCCTGAGTTATGTTTATGGCTTAGGAAAGCGTCGAACGCGACAGCGACACGTGAATCGCGCATTAAAAGCACTTTTTTCTAACATTTTTGTTTTTTTTTTTTAGCAATTTTAGACTTTTTTAGAAATGGCGACCGCTGCGAGCTGGCACTTTCATAATTTGCACAATATTTTCAGAGACGAGACCAGGCGAGAATAGGAGATGTATTGCTGGCCAGGATCTCCAACTGGCTGACCATATTGTTTATGGTCGAGCTGTGAGTGGCAAAGCCAAAAGCATTTGCCATTTGCCTTTGGCTTCCGCTGCCTGTTTTCGTATCTCTCCTCCTCTTTTTTATTTTTGCCTGTGCTCAAAGACAAACCCATAAAAATGTCACAATTCATCAACGCCGCTAAGTAGTTTCGTATTTTATAACGTCCAAAGGGAGGTAGCTAACTTTTGTTTATATATATATGTATTGTCTTTTTTGCTCTCCTTCCACTTTTGGCCACAAATTTTGAGCGCTTTTAGCGTGACCTCAGCGCATTTTTTTTTTTTTGGCAAGTGGCTTGGTTTTTGGCGCCAAACTGTTCAATGTGCAGCACATCAACACAAATATATATATGTATATATGAAAATGCTTTTGCTTGACCATCTTTTGAGTAATGCGTTTATTATGCACTTAGCCTAACTGCAGGCCTGCTTATGACTAATGCTTTGGTCGCAGCTCTCAAAATCGCATAATTGTAATTTTATTGTAGAGTTCAAGTCATGACAGCTGCATTTTTGGGAATCTGCTGCATACTTGATGGCCTGACTCTCTCAGCTTGTAAATAAATGCACTTTGAAAATATTCACAAAGAACTAAGTCGCATGGCTGTGACGTGAATTCGAAAGCTATTTCCCTAAAATCAAATAACTTCAATGATGTCAATGCTCTCAAGCAACAATTGCAACATTTAAATATGCAATGTAGCAAAGAGCTCAAGCCAAAGGCGAAAAGCGCTTTTTGTAATTTTTATATTAACTAAATTTTAATTTTATATATATATTTATATATATTTAAATATACTTATGTCTAAGTCTGTTAAGCCAGCTTTCATTAAACGAGTCGTAAGATAATCTTTGAAGCCAAATTATGCTCTTACTATACAGTGTATACAGTTCCGTTACTCACTGAATTTTCATAAAACAAATTTAATTTATACCCCTTAACTTATCTAAACGATTCTTCTGCTCTAATACTAATAACTTTACTGGCTTCTGCTGATGAGTCTGGAGATATATGCCATACTCGAAACGCCTTACGATGATCTGCGTATAATGAAGTAGGTTCTGTTTAGGTCTGATCTGTCATCATTTCTTTTTCTTTGAGCGGTTCTTGTGTTCTAACGGGGATTCATCAACTGAACGAACTCTTCGTAGTTGAGGTAGCCGTCACCATCTATGTCGCCTTCACGTATTAGTTCGTCAAGCTCCTCATCTGTGGGCTTCAGCTTTAACGCTATCATTACGGTACGCAGCTGATCCACTCCTATATAGCCGGTATTCTCCTTGTCATAGACACTAAACGCCTCACGCAGCACATCCTCATCTGCTCTTGTGTTCAGTTTTGCCATCATGGCACTGACAAACTCTTCAAAATCGATGCTCCCGTTACCATCTAAGTCCACTTGATTGATCATTGCCTGCAATTCGCTTTCTGTGGGCACCTTTCCCAAATCTCGCATGAACACGCCCAATTCTCTTGCCTGAATGCTACCCTCTCCATCTCGGTCCAATATTTGAAAGGCTCGCTTAAATTCCTCCAGCTCATAGTCAGTCAGATCCATTTTAATTAGCACGGTTGAATTTTGTAAAATAAAAAAAAAAAATCTAAGAGTAATGAAAAGTGTGCTCCGCTCGAGGGTTATGAATATACTTATTTGCCAGTGTGCTGTATTCGTCATCTTTGCTTCGCCTACTTCACTCTGTGTTTTTAGTTTCCGATTAAAATTGTCATCTCCCGTATTGTCATCTCTCGCATTGCCATCTCTCGCATAATTGCAACGAAAATCCTTGCTCGTTAATTCTAAAACATTACTATTATTGAAGCTTTTACTTTTGTCGGCTAATTTGATTCTTGCTATGTAGGGGCTATCTAAAATCCTGTGTTGCTGTAGTCCCAACTGTGGGGATCCACCTCGAAGCGCTTCAAGCGCTCATAATACTGTCCAAAAAAGAACCCCTCCAGCTGATATGTCTTGAAAACCCGAAAGAAGCCCTCATGCACAAATTTATTGTTCCAAACCCAGATGCAATGATTGGGGAAGGCATCGATCACCTGAGCTCTGCCGTTTTGATCTAAGTCGCATGGCAGATGCATTGTATGAAAATCGAACGGCAATGTCGGCTCGGTCTCTGCACGCTTCCTGCGCACAATATTCGTGACCACCGTGCTGCCCGTGGACTGGGACATCTCGAGGGACTTGGTCTGTGTTGGCAGTGTTGTTACGGCGGTGTCATTACTCCGATCAGTGTCCTTGGCCATAGCAATGGTTGCGTTTTGATTGGTGAAATTGGTTTTCAGGCTTTCCGTGGCGTTAGCGCTAGCCGTCACCCCTGGGGGGCTGACCAAAGCTCTAGCATTGCCATATGGCAATTGGCACTGAAATATAATAACCCTTAGATATGGGCCAAGTGATCGCTCGCTTTACGCTTACCAATGCAATTAGCCCAATTAAAAGCGCTGGCAACAGCATATTTATAGGCAACTTCATGATGTTATTAAAAGGTTCTGTTTTAAAATTGTATATGATAAAATTCGTCTTGTGTTTGGGAAATATTCAACCTAATGACAATGTTGTGAGTTTTAAGATTTTAAAATTTATATTCAAATGAAATGTATGTCAACGCAAGCTTGGTAATGGAAAACCGTTCAAAATTGTTAAGCTTCAATACTCAGTGGGCAAAAGATGTCCCTTTCAGCAGAAGTAATAGTTCTCGGTGCCTGCAGATGCGGTATCCATTTGAGAAATGCAAGCTTGGTCGAATAGGTCCGAAGCTAAAGAATAAAGCCGCACGGTTAACCTGAATCTGGAAACTGAAGAGCTTCAAATGAACCGCCACATTTTCCGATAAGGCTTAAGTAACATGCGAGTAGACTGGCCAGACCCCTCTCTGTAGCTGGTCTCACCACCTGGCTGAGAATATGTCAACATTTTACTCTGCTGCAGTACTAAGAACCAACTCGATCCCTTATACTATTGCTACCAGTTTGTCCACTCTAAAAAGCATCATCGTCACCCTACCCGTCATACTATATTCAAGATAGCTGGCCAGTTCTTGGCAAAACAAAAAAATTGCTAGATTCGATAGACAAGTCTGCGGATAATAGAACTTGAAGGCTATTGAAAAAGCCAGGCTTATTCCACTTTTGTTGTTTTGTTTTTTATACAGTTTCCTTTATTTTTGTTGTGTTTTCGTTTTGAATTTTTATACATTTCCACATAACTCACAGTTAATTTAATTGTTGCTATCTAGGGGTTATCTAGAAGCCTGTGTTGCTGTAGTCCCAACTGTGGGGATCGATCTCGAAACGCTTCAAGCGCTCATAATACTGTCCAAAGAAGAACCCCTCCAGCTGATATGTCTTGAAAACCCGATAGAAGCCCTCATGCACAAATTTGTTGTTCCAAACCCAGATGCAATGATTGGGGAAGGCTTCAATCACCTGAGCTCTGCCGTTTTGATCTAAATCGCATGGCAGATGCATTGTATGAAAATCGAACGGCAATGTCGGCTCGGTCTCTGCACGCTTTCTGCGCACAATATTCGTGACCACCGTGCTGCCCGTGGACTGGGACATCTCGAGGGACTTGGTCTGTGTTGGCAGTGTTGTTACGGCGGTGTCATTACTCCGATCAGTGTCCTTGGCCATAGCAATGGTTGCGTTTTGATTGGTGAAATTGGTTTTCAGGCTGTCCGTGGCGTTAGCGCTAGCCGTCACCCCTGGGGGGCTGACCAAAGCTCCAGCATTGCCATATGGCAATTGGCACTGAAATATAATAACCCTTAGATATGGGCCAAGTGATCGACTCGCTTTACGCTTACCAATGCAATTAGGCCAAATAGAAACGCTGGCAACAGAAAATTTATAGGTAACTTCATAATATAATCGAAAGAATTAGAACTATAACTGAGAATATTCGTATTGTGTTTAAATAGTATACAAACTTATAATAATGTGTGAACAAAAATTTTAAAATTTATATATGAATAAAATGTCAGTCTACGCAAGCTAGGTATGGGAAAAACGCTCAAATTTATTATATCATCATCAATAGAGATATTTTCGACTATATAAAAATATTTCTGCCTTTCAACAGATTTGCAATAGTTCCATCCGTTGATCGATCAATATCGATTCCAATCAATTTTTTGAATTATGTAAGTCTCATAATAATAAATGTGTAAATCTCAAAATAATAAATAATATTGAAAAAGCCTGGCTTATACCACTTTTTCTTGTTGAATTTTAAAAAATGGCGAAACTTCAGGCAATGATGCTCATCGCTAATCAATATTTCATATCTAGGTTAATACCTGCTATTTGGCTAGCACATAATGCGTAGCATGCGTCATAAATTCAAGTCTTTTAATTGACTTGTCAACAATCAGCCAAAATGGCGACCAGCTTTTTTCACTGATCGAGGCAACAGCTTAAACAATTTGCCAACGTCTCTTGTGGTCCGAGAACAAAACAAAATGGCGTCGTTACGCAGCGCTTGCTGTGTGTTGACAAAAATTAACCGTATTTTCACCATATACCAGCAGATATATGTATATGCATGCGTGCATATATTGATGGAGGAGTCATAACAGCGGCAACAACAACAACAACAACAGCAGGAACAGCATATTTTATAATATATATATGCAACAAAGTGTCGGAAAAGCTTTTAAAAAATTTGCAACCACACTTTTTCAAACTTGCGGCCTCTACCCCTCTCACTCTAACGCTTCGCAGCGCTCTCTTTCGCACAAACTTTTTAATAAAATGCATTTAAAGCGCCATTTTTTTTTTGGAAGTGTTTTTCTCTAGATTCTTTTTTGTTTTGTCGCTGCGGCAGCTACTGTGAAAAGCTCATGCATTTCAGTTTTTTATACTGTTTACGCCATTTTAACATTATTGTTGTTGTGTGGCCAACAATGTTGTAGCTGTGTGTGTGTGTGTGTGTGTGTGTGTGTGTGTGTGTGTGTGTGTGTGGATAGACATGGCAAAAGTGAAATGGTTATCGCGCTTGTTTGATTTAATTTATTGGCTTAGCGCCATTGTGGCCTGATGTGCAACACTTTACACACAACAACCATTTTATTTATTTTTTTTTTTTGGATTTTCCTCTTCTGCCGCTTGGCGAAGAGCTTGCGGGGCAGCTGAGAGGAGAGTATTGGCCGCACTGGAGTCGCTTTTTGGGAGACCAACTAGCGCTTCCAGTCAATCTACTCGTTGCCCGACTTTACATTTTGTTGCATGTTGTTGAGTTTTTTTCAGCTCGCACTTTTTTTTATAATCATTTTCATTTTGTTTATTTTTTTCTTCTGCTTTTCACTCTGCTCTTGCTTTTGGTTTTCTGATAAAAACGGCTGATTGCTGCGCTTGTCTTGTTCTGGGCTCTGGGAGATAACTGTTTTATATATGAATATTTTTTTTGCGAAATGTTTATTGGCGTCTCCATACACTGTCCAGCAGCAGTGAAAAATAAATTGAAATTCTCTACCCAGTCGGTGGCTTAAAGAATTATTTTAAAGATTCAAATATCTAAAAGTGTTGGATAAGCTTTTATATTTGCAGCAAAATTATGGTTTGGCTTAAAGACAAGTTTTTTACAGCATTTTCTAGCTGCTATTTAACTTGATGAAGTAACATAGCTCATGCAGCATTTTTTAGTGCTTGTTGCATTTAACTCTGACATAATGAAAAAATGTAACAAACCATTCTCAATAAATTCAATGAAGTGCAGTTAATTACACATTCTACTCGTGAGCTTGCAACCCCCAAACGATTTTCAATTAATTACAATTTCCAATTTGCTCGTACCTTCAATTTTTGGCACACGCAACCCCCATCAAGAATCTCGCCCCTAGTTGCCTGCAATGAGAAAATCATTTGCCGCAAAGCAAATGAAAACACTTAACAATTGCCTCATGGTTAAGCGACCCCCGACATTTGGGAACGCTTTCGTGTAAATTGAAATGCTTCATGTTAACATTTGTTTGCCATCAACTGGCAATAGAAAAGAATTGAAAAGAAAAGAAAAGAAAATTGCGTGTAACTGAAAACTGAAATCAAAATAAACAAATTGTAAACTAAGCAATTCAATTTCTACAGTTATGAATTATGCAATTATGACGAAATTGTCTGATGAAATTTAAGAATGAAAGTAACAAATAAATATTTTCCAGCAGAGATTATACGACTAGCAGATACGCTTCCAGAATCTAAATATGGTTTATAATGTGATCATAATATATAGATCATATTATTATATCTTATTTTCTAGATATGCGTAGACTACCCATATCATGATTAAAGGCTTTGCTTATCAACAGACAAAGATTTCGCAACATATTGAAAATATTGCTGCTGTTGCTGTTTGTAGATTTTTTGGTTGTTATTATTGTAGGATTTGCCTTTAATTTGAATGTTGAACGCACTTAGAGCCATTTACGTGGCATACATAAAGGCGGCTTTCATTTGCCTCACCCGAAAGTCAGATGTCACATACATTGAAGTTTGATTCGGCAGCCTGTAAACACCAAAAACAGTCACCAAGTCACGCACACACCCACCCACACACACACACACACAGACAAACACACCCACACACTCAGACAGCCGTACGTTGAAGTGTGTAGGATATCAAAAGTTGACACACACACACACACACACGCACAATGTGAGTGAGGCAGACATGTCAGAATACGAGGGGAAAAGTGGAAGCTTGCCAGGCTATTTGCTTGCCCTTTTCTGACATTTGCTGCCAAAGTTGATATTATTAATTTACAGCGCGTACCATGCGAGGGAATGTCATTGCCGACAGCCCTTCACACTCCACCCGCCACGAGAGAGCCCACCGCAAAGTATGCCACACGCATTTTCCTTG